CGCCGAGGCCTCAGGCAAAAGACCAAAATCTCCCCACCCCGTCAAGGCCCTCTCGCCGAGGCCCCGCCCCGAAAGGCCTCGGACAGGATGCCAATTCTCCGATTCGCTCGAGGCCGGGCTCGGCAAAACAAACTCATAACCTCCATCCCAACCGAACTCCTTTGACAAAATGTCATGTCCGGATTAATGCGCCCAACTACTCCTCAGAAATGTTAGCTGACGCGCAGTGCAGTCTGGACGAAGCGTAATCGACCGACGGGGACAGGGGACCGGGCGTAGCGGGATTACACGCCATCGTGCTCATCATCATCAGTGCTCCCTCATCGACACCCGTATTGCCCTATGCTACCTAACCCTGCGCCAAGGACAAAGCGGCATGGAAGGTCAAATCCAGTCCTCAGAGTCTCAAAGCATGTGCGGAGAGCCCACCGCTCGTTCTCCGCCTCGCCCGAGACCCCGGCGGCCTCGACGTCTTGTTCCTTCTCCGCCTCGGCCGAGGCCGGGCTCAAATCCCACATCCTCGTCGCCTCCGCTCAACTATCCCCTCGACGGGCTGTCCCATCCATTTAATGCGTCTCAATGCACCAATTCGTCGCCCCACGATTGGCGGTATACAAAGCGAGGGCAATGGGACGGTGGTCAAATCTCCTTTTACCATCCCCTCTTCGGCGGTGCGGGGGGTTACCCCGCCTGCACTTTTTTCCACCTAAACCGGGTCACTATAGCCTCGGAATCGAAGCATAAGCCCAACTGCTTGCTCCCTCCGGGCCTCGGCAAATCAGGCCTCGGCGCGGTCAGCTACAAATACCCGCTAGGGCCTCGGCAAATCAGGCCTCGGCACGGTTAGCTACAACCTGCCAGGCCTCGGCACTCCACCAGGTCAAGAGTCCACCAAAGCATGGCATGTCTCCGGCCGTGGAAGTCATACTGACTAGACATCGACAAGGACCCCCACGACCTCAACCACTTCAAACCTGACCAGCATGGCGCGCCAGACAAGTACCGATCTCCATTCCCAACGCCATGCTGCTACAGGACAAAACTGCAGTAGGCTCCACGTGTAGCTTACTCATGTACTCCTAGCTCCTTCCTTGCGGTTATAAAAGGAAGCGGCCAGGGATAGCTCAGGGGGAGAGGGGAAGAAGATACGATAGAACCGCGCTCCTATATTCGCTCTAGACACATCCTGTAACACCCACGCTCCCGAGCTGCTTGAGAGCAGCGTCTCAAGCACCTCCCACCGTCCCACGCCAAAACCTGGGACTAGCTCCCTCTCTCACCCAGCTTGTAACCCCCTACTACAAGCACTTCGGTGCAAGGAATACAAGACCGATCTCTCAGACTGGACGTAGGGCACCAATTGCCTGAACCATTATAAACATTGTGTCTCTTTGCATCACCGTCCAGGATTAGGGGCACGCAGTTCACTTTTACTGGTTGGATGAGGACCCCCCGGTCCGATACACCGACACAACATATTGCAAATAACCTGCCAGAAGCATTTACTGATTATAAGGGTGTCACTAAATCCTCTTATCATGCTCGCAATGCGCCCGAAAGAGTGGAGGTACCAATAAAAATCATTCAACTCCCACTTCCAAAGAAGAGGGGGAGAAGTATGGCCGCTCCTAAGGATAATGCTACAAGTAAGCGTCCGAGGATATCGAGGGAAATCCTCCAAATCAGTAAATCCAAGCCAACCTCAAGTTGGTAGACACCCAATATTGGATAAAAATCCAACATCAGGACCAAATCCACAACCCGGATCAACGGTGCATCCAAATTCTGATCCTGGGATATCGGAACACCCTGACTCCATAGTTTTGGGAAATGTTGAGTCAAATAATGGGGTGAAAGAAATTTCCATCAATTACATAGATTCTGGAGAATCATACGATCGTAAGACTACTGTTGTCGACATGTACTTCTCCGCAGCAATTGTAGAAATCTTTCTCAATGATCCAGATCCCAAGACCATGGCAGAGTGCAAAAAGCTCTCGGACTAGGCTCAATGGAAAGAAGCAATTCAAGCTGAGATAGCTTCGCTCACTAGAAGAGGTGTATTCACATCTGCAATACCTACACCTTCCAAAGTCTTTTCTGTAGCCTTTAAATGGGTTTTCGTCCGGAAATAGAATGAGAACAATGAGGTGGTGAGATATAAAGCGAGGCTAGTAGCACAAGGGTTCACGCAGAGACCCGGCATTGATTACAATGAAACATATTCTCCAGTAATGAGTGGAATTACTTTTCGATACTTAATATCATTGACAGTTCAAAATCATTTATCTATGCAGTTGATGGATGTGGTGACATCTTATCTATATGGGTCACTTGATTCGGACATATAAATGAAGGTTTCCAATGGAATCCAAATTCCGAATCCAAACATAAATCACAACATGTATTGTGTAAAACTACAGAAGTCATTATATGGCTTGAAGCAGTCGGGACAAATGTGGTACAACCGACTGAGGGAATTCCTTCTAAAGAAAGGATACACTAACAATGATGATTGTCCATGTGTTTTCATTAAGAAATCTCGAACGGGATTTTGTATTATATCCATGTATGTTGATAATTTAAATATCATTGGCAGCCCAAAGGATATAGATGAAGCACACAAACATCTAAAGAGGGAATTCAAGATAAAGGATTTGGGTAAGACCAAGTATTGCCTAGGCTTACAACTTGAGCACCGTCCTTCAGGGATTTTAGTGCATCAATCAGCCTATATCTAGAAAATATTGGAGAAATTCAATATGGATAAACCATACCCTAATAAAACTCTGATGGTTGTCCGTTCCTTAGAAATAGAGAAAGATCCATTTAGACCACGGGATATTGGAGAAAAGATGTTGGGACTAGAGATCCCATATCTCAGTGTCATTGGCGCACTTATGTATCTTGTAAATTGCACCAAGCCTTATATCGCATTTGCAGTGAACTTACTGGCTAGGCATAGTGCGGACCCAACTCGCCGTCATTGAACGGGAGCGAAGTGTATCCTCAGATACCTTAATGGCACAAAGGATCTTGGTTTATTCTTCAAGAAAAATTATGATCCCAGTATGATTGGTTATACTAATGTAGGTTACTTATTTGATCCTCATAACAAAAAATCCCAAACAGGATTTATATTCCTACATGGAGGTACTTCTATTTCATGGAAGCCTTCTAAGCAGGCTCTGACAGCGACTTCTACTAATCATTCTGAAATTATTGCTCTATACGAGGCATCATGAGAATGTGTATGGCTTCGCAGAATGATTAACCACATACAACAGTCATGTGGTATTGGTTCAATTGAATCACCTACAATTATTTATGAAGATAATTCCGCTTGTGTTACACAGATGCAATCAGGTTAAATAAAGAGCAATATCGCTAAGCATATTGTTCCTAAACTGTTTTATCCCCATGAATTACAAGAAAACGGGGAAATAAACATCTTGCAAATCAAGTCATGTGATAATCTTGCTGACCTATTTACTAAGTTCTTACCAACTTCTGTGCTTAAAAAATTGGTACATGAAATTGGTATGCGGCGACTTTGAGATTTACCAGAATCAGGGGGAGACATCTCCTAAATGTTGACCTGTATCAGCATTATTTTATACTCTTTTCTTTCACAAGTTTTACTTACAAGGTTTTTTGTTAAAGTTTTTAATGAGATAATATTAACATAAGCATGTATTATATTTTCAATTTTCTCCACCGGGATTTTTGTGGGAAATATCAAAGACACATATTGCCCTCACAGCTCATCCATGGTTTTTCCCCGAAAAAGATTTTTCATGTGTGTTATCCAAGAGGCAATACCAATAATATGTCGTCATATTTTCTCTTAATTTTCTCACTAGGTTTTTACAGGAGTTTTAGCGACATATCACTTTATATTGCTCCTCATATTTTTCCTGAAACGGTTTTTGGAGGAGTAATCTATATGTCGTATCTCCTATATTTTTTCCCCACTGGGGTTTTTAATGGGATACCAATGACATGATGATTTATTTAAATCACATTCATATATGTTATTTTCTCCTTATTTTTCTATAAGGTTTAAAGGAGTTTTTATAGCATATCTATACATACATATTCCTCAGATTTTTTCCACAGGATTTTTCGAGGAATTCAAGCATACAGCTACATTAATCTCAAAGAAGATTCGATCGAGGGGGAGTGTTACGAAACGGTGCCTGCCAACATACACCTATTCGTCAGTGATCTCATCCAATTAGATGTGCACTTAGAGATATAATTAGAGATTAGATTTACATTGACTATGTCACCGAAGGGGCATGTCTCTCGGTGACGAGATGTAACTTCTCCCATCAGTTGTGTCATTTGGACACGCCCCTTCACTTGTATATATATATAAGAGATCGATGAAAGAACAATTATTCCCAAATCATTGTTCATTTTCATTCACTTTCAATATGGCGAAGCATTCAGCTTGAATTCATAAGTTCATCACCTATGAAAAGTATCTTCTTATCTCCGCTTGAGCAAGTTCAACTAGGAATTTGAGTGTCCTACTCATTTTTTATGATTAAAAATTACACACATATCATAAAAAAAATAACTGCTCGATCGGGGAAAATAATATATTCAGAAATAGCGTATTATACAGATAGATTGAAAAAGGACGGGGAGGAACGGAGTTTATGGTTGGTCTAGAAGCAATAACTGGAGTGGCAGAAAAGAGACCGCAACTGCAAGGCACCGAAGGAGAACTCACCAGGAAGCAACGACGCGGAAAGAGAAATCCACGGGTCAGAGAAGCCGCTCTTGTTGGATTATTCCGTTCGTCAGTTCCTTCGCGGAGGTACGCCTAGTCGCCTACGCCCCTCAACCCCTGCTCCTAATCCGCTTCTCCTGCTTCCCTCCCCAAAATTCCCCGTGTCCAGTATCCTGGTCTTCCCCTGCCGCTTCCCTTAATTTTCCTCTCATAACCCGTTTCATCTCCTGCTGTCTCTTCCGCCGCCGCTGAACGGTAGGGCTCCTTCCACCGGCGTCTCCCTTACCGTCGTCCTCTACTGGTGCTGGACTGCCTTGGGGTGGAGATTGGCTTGGATCAACTCTTATTTCAGGTTCTGTTGTTGTTGGTGAGTAAACCCTAGCCTGCTTGGACGGGATCTTCTAGGAGTTCGTTTTGCTTTGCGGATTTGCTAATCGAAACCATATACATGGTCTAAGTAGTGTTTTCGTCCTTAGCGCGCAACATTAGTCTACCCAAAGTGCAACTTAGTTTGCAGAATTCGGGGTTTTCAACGCCCGCGTGAAGATTGCCATGAAATTTTGACTAATCGTCACGTCAATGTGTTATCTAACTGCGACATGTCCATTTTCTCGACTGATTCGGGGTTTCTGCAGAGAAAATGAGTGACAACCTGATGGACAAGGTTAGCGCCTTTGGTGAGCGCCTGAAGATCACCGGGACAGAAGTCAGCAAGAAGATGACTGCCGGAATGAGCTCCATGAGCTTCAAGATGAAGGAGTTGTTCCAGGGGCAGACTCCAGCTGACAAGATTGTTGAGGACGCCACCTCAGAGAATCTGGACGGGCCTGATTGGAACTCAAACTTGGAGATTTGCGACTTGATCAACACAGAGAAGGTTAACAGTGTGGAACTTATATGTGGGATCAAGAAGAGGATCATGCTGAAGGATGCGAGGGTCCAGTATCTCTCCTTGGTCCTGCTTGAGACTATTGTGAAGAACTGCGAGAAGGCCTTCTCAGAGGTTGCGGCCGAGCGTGTTCTTGATGAGATGGTCAGGTTGATTGATGACCCTCAGACTGTGGTGAATAACAGGAACAAGGCCCTTATGCTGATTGAAGCATGGGGGAAGTCTGGTGATGAACTCCGCTATCTACCAGTCTATGAGGAAACATACAAGGTTTGCAAACATAAGCCTTAATTCTGTTTACCATTGCTTCAACCAAAACAACTGCACAACTTGTGTCTTGTTCCAGTTAACTCATACTTCCATACTGCAGTTGTTTATTTTGTTCTACTAGTTCATGACTTCATGCCAAAAGATAAAAGTACAATAATCTGTGTTGTTCCATGATGCAATCATAGGGAAAAATCTGATTTAGGAGCGACGTGCTGAAGTAAGGCTGCTTTAGTGCAATCACTGAGCTATTTATGTTTCACATAGTTTTATGCTTTTGTACTTAATAGTTTACTTACATTTTTATGGTTATATTTCTGTGCAACCAGCCGAGCTCACCAAGTACTTATAATGAGCGCCTTAGGCAGCACTTGTATCATTCCTATAGCTCTGGATTTATTACTCATAATAATTTACTGGTTGTTTTGATATGACATTTGATGGAAATACATTATATCTTGTTGATTATTTTAGACATCCACACAATGTCTAATTAATGTCTTTGCACATTACTTCTTCTGATTAATGGGAGTGCTTGTGATATCATACCTTATTGTAAAATATAATGGGGTAGTGCTGCAGAAGATCAATATGATTTATCCTTGCACAGAATGTTTTTGTACTTTAGTAACCAAGGTCCATAAGTTACACTGTATGACATGATCATTTCCATGTATAGAGCTTGAAATCAAGAGGAGTGCGGTTTCCTGGACGTGATAATGAGAGCTTGGCTCCCATATTTACTCCACCACGATCAGTTGCCGAAGCTGATGTTGACGCAAGCTTGCCCCAGCAGGCATTCGAAGACGTCCATGTTCATACATATACTGCTGAAGAAACAAAAGAAGCATTTGATGTAGCTCGTAACAGCGTAGAACTTCTTTCAACTGTTCTTTCATCTTCCCCTGAACAGGATGCTTTGCAGGTACTGTGTCCCAATTTCATTTAACTTTTCTCTTAGTCTGTCAAGTTCTCAACCATCATGATGTGATTAGCTATTTTCACACATGAGATTTCCTTTATGGATCTTTTGCAGTAAAAGATACTGCTCATTGTGTCATGTTGCTGATGAAACATACTTAGGGTAGGTGGATGTATTTTGCTTATCATGCCACATTTATGGCGATAAAGTGATAGACTACTTCATTGCATGTAGTGAAAACATTTTTCTGTTCATGTTGATTGTTAACTTAATATAGTGTGTGCTCTATACAGTTGTTTAGGAATAAGAATGATTGAAAAAAGTACTCCATGTTTTGTTGAGCATAGTTGTCTAACTGCTTTCCCTGTTAACAATCACATCTGCTGCATCCTGAAGTTATAGCTACTGCAAATTTTTGTTGGATTAGGGTGTATATATTTCAATTATTTACACCTTTTCTGTTGTTTGCATCCTGAAGTAGTAGGTTTTTGCACTGTTCTTTAACATAGCCAACTGTTTTTTCGCTAAATGAAAACTTTAATAGGCATGTTGTTTGTTGAACTAGCAGAAATCAAACTATCTCAAGATTCTTGTTTGACTACTTTTGTTATCACCACAGGATGACTTGACAGCCACTCTTGTGCAACAATGCTACCAATCTCAGCACACTATCCAGAGGATTATTGAGACCGTTGGAGACAACGAAGCTGTGCTCTTTGAGGCCTTGAGCGTGAACGATGAGATCCAGAAAGTGTTATCGAAGTACGAGGAGATGAAGCAGCCCAGGGCCTCGGAGCATGCAGAGCAGAGACCAGTTGTCATACCGATTGCCACAGAACATGAAGATTCGACTGCTATCGGCAATGAAGACGCCCTTGTCAGAAAACCAGCTGCTGCAAGAGCAAGGTCAGGTGGAGATGATGATATCCTTGATGATCTCGATGAGATGATATTTGGCAAGAAGGGAGGTAACAGCTCCTCCCAGGAAGGGCCGAAAAAGCCAGATCCGAAGAAGGATGACCTGATCAGCTTTTAAGTACCTCTCCATAATCGCAGCCAGTACTTGCTATTTTTTGGTGCTGTACCCACTCGGTAGATTGAAGATTCCTTAGGATTTGGATCGATTGTTTATTCGCATACGATTCATACTTGCCCCTTCGGTTTGTTCAGTTAAGTTGCTACACTTTATCAATCTTGTTTCATGGATGAGTCCCAGTGACCATGAATGTATTGGATGGTGGATTATGCCTCGACGGGGGGAAAATGTCCAGTGTCGCTGAATCTCTGTTCTTTGCTACAGTAACCATTTCTTAAGCTCATATCTTATGCTTTGGGTAACCGTTTCTTAAGCTCATGTCTTATGCTTTGGCTAATCGAGCAGGTCTCTTATAATGCCGCATATCACTGGTCTCAATATGCCAGCGCTGTGAAGTGTGAGATATTATGAGGTCAAAATCAGCAAGTCTTGTTGAAATAAAATCATCACACAAATAAATGGGTGGTCCTCAACTGAGGAAGCGTTCGCATACAATGCATACTGATACATCTAACAATCTGGGTGCCTCATGTTTCACGGTCGTACACATACACTGAATTGGAACTAAATGCCACTACCAAATGAATTGCACGTAACAAGGCATGGGGTCTGAGTCTCAGGCTCCTCAAGTGGTCGTGGCTGCCACGAGCTTGGCGCGCAGCTCTCTCCTCAGGATCTTCCCGGACGCCGACTTGGGGATGGCGGTGGTGAAGTACACCTTGTGTAGCCTCTTGTAGAACACCACCTGACAATCGGCGCGGCGCACGCGCGCACACAAGAACTGTCAGAAAAAGAGCCGGGCTAGCGTTCAAAAACCATTAGCAAGGCGGCGTGACTGAGTACCTGCTTGGAGATGAACTCCTTGATGGCATCCTCCGCGATGTCGGAGTCGGCGGCGCGTACCACGAAGGCGACAGGGACCTCGCCGGCGGCGTCATCCTTTTGCCTGCCATGCGCATACATGTACAGTCAGAACGAGCAATTTTCATGCGGTGTTTGGTGGTTCCGAAGCAGCTGATTGGTCTTACGGGACGACGGCTGCGTCGGCGATGGAAGGGTGGGCGATAAGCAGAGCCTCGAGCTCGGCCGGCGGCACCTGCACGGGCGTGACAGCTACGGTTCTCAGAAAGAGTTACCAACTGATAGATACAGTAGAGGCTTTTCAGGGCAGCGCGGCGTGTTACCTGGAAGCCCTTGAACTTGATGAGCTCCTTGACGCGGTCGACGATGAAGACCTCGTCGTCGCCGTCGACGTACCCAATGTCGCCGGTGTGGAGCCAGCCGTCGACGTCGATCGTCCTCGCGGTGGCCTCCGGGTCGTTCAGGTACCCTGCGCCACACCACACCACACGGACGACGTGCCCGTCCATCAGTGACCGGTCACTTGCACAGTGCACCGTACGCGCGACGACGACGCAGCGTCACGCGCGGTTAATTACCTTTCATGATCTGCGGGCCCCGGATGCAGATCTCGCCGGGGAGGTTGCGGCCGAGGGAGAGGCCCGTGTCGGGGTCCACCACCTTGAGCTCCGCGTTGCGCACCACCGTGCCGCACGACCCCGGCTTGGCGGGCGTCGGCTCCTTGGCGAACGCCGGGCACATGGACAGCACGGGCCCGGCCTCCGTCATCCCGTACCCCTGCAGCGCTAGACAATCAGCATCGGGTGACCGTGACGCGAGCGTCCGGTTCGTCCGAAATCACGCTGAAACGAAACGGAGCGGTTTGGAGGCGTGCACTGCACTGGGATCGCGGCCTGGCGGCGCGTCGGGCCGGGTGCCGCCCCAGCCCACAGGCCGGAGCCCGGAGGCCACCCGCCCGAGCTGGGTAGTGTAGTGGTAGGTGGAACGAGAGGCTCAGGCAGTCAGGCGTGGAGACTGTTTCCGGGGACCCAGGGCGGGCGACGCGTTGCGATCGCCAATCAGACATCGGTCGTACAGCACCGTTTTCTGGCTCTGCGGAACGTCTGCGCTGTGGGGCCGCTCATTACCACGTGGGGCCACTCATTAGCACGTGGGGTGGAAAAACTGCTTGGCGCATGTATTCCTGGCGGTGTCGCACCGCGTGCTCTCGTGCGGCACCGCCGCATAGAATTTTTTCCCCCCCATCTTTCTGTCAATTGTCGCGACTTGCGACTCGGACGTGCAGGCGTCGGCACTTTGCCGTTATATAACTGACAGAAAAGCCACATGTTCCTGGCAGGCGTGGGCATTAACCATGTACGCGCGCTCGGTGTTTAGTCCTTGACATGTCTCGATAGAAGTGAGCGATTGTCACGGCTTGCACCGTTGCACTACTTGCGCGTCTCCAACTCTACATCGAGCAAGCATCCAACAGACCAACACTCGTGTTGCACGCTGCATAGTACGCACAGGTGGGCAACACCTATAACGCAGACACAGCACAGGTCCGATTCAGGTAGATCACCCATTAACAGTCGAAAAGGGAGCCATCGTGTGATTGTACCTGCTCCCTCCATTCCTTTTTTTAATTGTTATTTTTACTTACCAAAAAATCAAACATGCTATATATATATTATTTATAGTACATAAAGAATATCATTAGATAAATCATTGAATATATTTTTATATTAAATTTATTTAAAAATACAAATATTGATAATTTTAAACCTAACTAATCAAACTTAAAAAATCTAACCAACACAACTATCGTAGCTACACTTAAAAAGGAACAGAGGGAGTATCCGAGTATAGTATTTCTGGACGTAGGTTAGTGTCTGTCTGTACAGTTATACCGTTATAGACTGAACAATAGAATGTTTTTTTGGTTCAAGCTTGGTATAGTTAGAAACTAGTACGGAGTACTACACATGTCTACCTCATTCCATAAAACTTGACATTCTAAGATTTTTTTCAGACAGATTAATATAGAATTGAAATGACATCGGTAGCCCTATTTATTAGACCAGTCTCAATGAGGGTTTCATCAGAGTTTTATAGACATTAAATATACTGATGTGGCACCGTATTGATGAAGAGAGATGATAAAAGTTTCATGAGAGTAGAGAGAGTTTTATGGGAATACAACTCTTCTACACTGTTTCTAAAATATGGATGTATTGTAAACCGGGCCATGAAATCCCTACCAAGACTGGCCTTAAAGATTTTTAACCTAAAACGGAGCTAGTATTGATTAATCTAGCTTGCCGCTGCAGCTTCTGCTGTGACTGCAGCTCCATAACTATGAACTACTGTAGCATGAACTAGAGAAGCTGCAGCCGCATCCGAAAGAAGCTGCAGCGAGCATATGTATGCGCTCACCTCAATTAGGCATGCAGATTAGCTGCCATCTCTAGGCCTAATTAGTGTTTGTTAAAGTAACTGTGGATGGCACATTGAATGTCAAGTGGGTAAGTACAATAACAAGTTTTTTAGGCAAAATTTAAACACTAGGATGTCATGTGTTTATTTACGGGTGGATAGAGTGAGAATTACGCTAAAACGTGTGTTACCTAATACCAGTAAAAATTAACAAGGTGGAAGATGCTATCAATGATAAGAATTACTAGCATGCTAAAATTAGCTGATTCAAATAATGCCTCAGTTTTTTTTTTTCTTTTCGAAACAATTGAGAATGTCTACTTGGCAAGGTAGCGGTGAAACAGGGAACGGAACAGTAGACAGTAGACACTGACCTGTCCGAAGACGGCCTGTGGCACGCGGGCGCGGAGCGCGTCGACGAGCTCCTTGCCAAGCGGCGCGGCGCCGGAGAGCACGATCCGGATGGAGCTGAGGTCGTACTTCTCCAGCGCGGGGTTCTTTGCCAGGGCGAGCACCAGCGGCGGCACGACGGCGGCCACCGTGACGCGCCACCGCTGGATGCCCTCCAGCATCGCGCCCATCTCGAACTTGGGCATCAGCATCACCGCCGCGCCGGCGCGCAGCGCGCACAGCAGCACCGAGTTGAGCGAGAAGATGTGGAACAGCGGCAGCACGCAGAGCGCGACGTCGCCCTCCCGCATGTACAGGTTGGGGTTGGCGCCGTCCACCTGCTGCGCCACGTTGGACACCTGCCCGCCGTGGGTGAGCACCACGCCCTTGGGCAGCCCCGTGGTGCCCGACGAGAACGGCAGCGCCACGGGGTCGTCGGGGGAGATGGACACCTCCGGGAGCGCGGCGTCGTCGGCGGGCGTGACCAGCTCCCAGAACGCCAGGCAGCCTTCCGGGGTGTCGGCCGCGTCGTCGATGGTGAGGACGGTGAGGGCATTGTCGTCCTCGCCGCCGACGTCGCTCGCCGCGCCGATCCTCGGGAACGCCTCGTGCCGGAGCTTGTCGACGTAGGCGGACTGGGTGACGATGAGCTTCGCGCCGGAGGCCCTGAACTGCTTGTGGATCTCCAGCGGCGTGCAGAACGGGTTGGCGGCCGTGGTGACGGCGCCGAGGAACGACGCGCCGAAGAAGGTGAGCACGAACTCGACGGAGTTCTGCAGCAGGATCATGACGCGGTCGCCCTGGCCGACGCCGAGCCCGTGCAGCGACGCCGCGGCCTTGCGGCACAGGAGGCGCGTCTCGGCGTACGTGTATGTCCTCCCCGTGGCCGCCGCGATGAGGCACGGCGCGTCCGCGACCTCTGCCGCCCTCGCGAAGCAGTACTCGTGCAAAGGCAGGTGGCTGGGTATGTCGATGTCCGGCAGCTTCGACCGGAACATGGTCTCCTCCGGCGCCGCGGGGGCCACGGCCGCCGCCACCTGCGGCTGCGCCTCCGGTGCTGCCACCGTGATCATTTCCTTTTCCTCTGCCAAATTCGTACCAGTGGACGGGCTTAGCTACACGGCAGTGGTGCTGTTGAGACTGAGAAGAGACGGAGGCGGAAATAAATACAGCAACAGGCAGCAGGGGACCGGAGGTAGGCGAGAGCTCGCGCGCGCGCGCGATGGAGGGGTTAGGTATGGTTAGAGGTGATGAGGGAGATGCATGTGGAAGCGGTGCGTACACGCCCGACAGCCACCCCTGCAGCACATTTTCCAGCCCAAAATGGGATG